TTGTTTTGTATCAACTGTTAGAGGCTCCCCTGTTGTTGTTTTTTAAAAAAGCAAGCTATATATATGTCTACTAAGAAGTAAGTTCCATTAAGTTCAATGGGGATTATTCCCAGGTAAGTGGGAATATGATTGTAGGCTACTGCAGTCAGCAGCAGAGGAAGCTGCTTAGGTGCCTGGGGCGGCACGGCCAGGGGCGGGACAAGCTGCCCATGGGGTTGGGGTGAGGGCGAGGCCTCCAGAGTCTGCCTGCCTCCTCCCACTCAGCTGTCCTACAGCTGGGAGGGGGGCAGACCGTTTTGGCAGCGCAGAACCCAGGAGAGATGCGTGGCTTGGGTGCGCTGCAGGCCCCATGGTGAGTGGTGCCCGGCATTTTGTCATCCCCCTCAGGGGTGACACCCAGGGCAGCCCGCTCCCACCGCACCCCCTTCCTCCGCCCCTGACTGCAGTTAGTCCTAAACTTCTGTGACAAGGAAATGCAGCAAAGGAATTCTGTCTTTGTTCAGGTTTCACTGATGTGCCATTTCTTGACTAGAGTTCACACAAGCATGTTCCTTAGTCAGTAATAACAGTATCAGGGTGGTGTCTTGTATTGTGTAAATGAGCCACCACAGATGAGACTTCAGACAGAACTTTCACAACCCTTCACATAATTTCACACACAATGATTTTCAGTAAGTTCCTACATGTTGATATGTGTCATCAATTGCAGAGAGATGAAAGCCCCTTTCAGGCATTACATAAGTACGTGGATGGAGAGTGAAGGAGTGGAAATAGCATGGGGTGCACTCAGCCTCCATGCATTTATGATAAGCTCCAAAATTAACTCCAATGCATTTGACTATATGTACATGCATAGGACTTTGTGAGACTGGCAAATCAGTTTTTTTCTTTCTTTCAGGGTTCTCAAATCACCTGGAGAAGTACCAAGCATGTACAGCTGCATGCACATTACATCTTTTGAGCTCCAGTGCCGAGGGCCTTCTGGCAGATCCCTCACTGTGAGAAGTGAAGTTACAGGGAACCAGGCAGAGGGTCTTCTCGGTAGTGGCACCCGCCCTGTGGAACGCCCTCCCACCAGATGTCAAAGAGAAAAACAACTACCAGACTCTTAGAAGACATCTGAAGGCAGCCCTGTTTAGGGAAGCTTTTAATGTTTAATAGACTATTGTATTTTAATTTAGTTCCTCTCATTCTCCCTACATCTGCACTTACAACTCATTGTATTCAATGCACTTAGGAATGATTGGTTAAAGGCCAGAAGTATCTCTGAATGCTTATGTGAATGGAATTCTATAACATCTAATCAAGACCTTCAAGGTATATGGGTTGGGGTAGTTCTGTGTCTACGTCTGAATGAATGGAAGTGGCAGTCGTGCTCCTGGTGTTCCAGATGGAGCAGTAGGCCAACCAAGCAATCATGGTTATATGCTGGTAGGTAGAGCAATGACCAGCAGGAGGGCTGTCCAGCCATCTCAAGGAGGTCAACACAAAATCTGAGGCCTACATGCTTAGCAGCAATGGAGCTGGTTTGTAAAGTTATTACACCAGCAGCAGCTGAGGGTTTATTCTACATATGATGTATTCACTGCGATCTTATGGACTGCCCTTCATTGAATAGATCACAGGGCAGTTCACAAAACATCACATCAAAAATTGCCTATCAGTAAAGACCAATATACAAATTTTTAAAACCGACAGCAACAGAACTGAAACTTCAAATCTGAAAAATACAACAGCAGTACATTATAGCAAAAATATTAAATAAAGCACTCAACTTTCACCCAAGACAGTGAACAAATGCATTTTGACCAGGTGTTGGAAGCCTGAGAGTGTCAGGAAGGGCCAGTTGTACCTCCAAGGGGTGTGGAATTCCGTGAGTAGGGCATCACTACAGAGAAGGCCCTATTTCACCACACAGCAAGTTGTACCCACTGAATACCACCCCCCAGCTGATTTCAGGGCCCAGGCCAGTTGATATGAAAGGAGGTTCCATCAAGTACATGGTTGGGCACTATTCAGAACCCCTGGCCTACCTGGCAGCAAGTCAGTATGTCAAGTCCAAAGTCCAAATCCAGGGGCCAAACCACACAAGCAAAGTCCAAAGGTGAAGAAACGCAATCCAAGTAGCCAAGTGTGAAGGCCAGCTGTCAGGATACAGTGTACTGTCAAACCCAAAGCACAGTCCCACAGAGGTCCAGGAGCATCCAGGCCAAGGCCCATCAACATGGGCAGTAGAGCAGACACAGCACCTCACCTCTGCTTCCCTTTTGTACTTTGCCTGCTGATTGCAGCAACTGGGCTTGATGAGGTATATATGACCTTCACCTGTTCCAAGCCTACTCCAGCAGAGGAATCACACCCACCCTTCCTGGTATAGATGGGTCTTGCTGCTCTGGTTCCTGTTCACTGACTTCCATCCCTTCACCATCCTCTGTCACCCCTGTAAGTACTTCCTCCCCCATGCCCTACTTGCCCCAGTGTGTCCCAGTCACCCCTTGCTGGGATCTTCTTCCTCCTCCCCTTCATTCTGCCAGTTCATGGCAGGCACTAAGTCATTCAAATGGCTGTGTGTGTGTGTGTGTGTGTTTCAATGGCATGTTGGTGTGGTTCTAATGAAACATTGTGAGCCCCTTAGAGAGTTGTCAAACACAATTCTCTGCATGTTTACTCAGAAGTAGACCTGACTGTGTTGGGTGGAGTGTACTCCCTTGTAAATGAAGCAATGCGGTAAATAGAGGGGTCAGTGCGTTGCGTATCTGTGCCACGAGTTTAGCACTCAGGACAAAGACTAGAGGCTGACTTATCAAAGTATTTAAATTTTATACTGTGGGTTGGCTCTAGACTTAGAGTCCTATTTAGAGTAGACCCACTGAAAATCAACAGGACTTAAGACAGTTATGATTAACTTAAGCCCCATTGATTTCAATGGGTCTTCTCTAAATTCTGGATCCAAGCTATTATATGTATTACAGCCTGATTAAGGAAGAAAGGCTAAAAATAACATGTAATTATCTGCTTGTTATTTCTAGACACCCAAACTGCAGAGGTTTTGTCCGGGCTAAGCAGATTATCTTTGCTTTTCCCCTCTGGAATGCATGTAAAACGGTTCTTGGGTGGGCCCTGTTCTTCAGGACCGTCTCCAGTGCAAAATTCCCTGCAGCCCGGTCACTTGCCTTCCAAAATCAACAGTCAAAATGTCCTTTTATTCCATACCATCTCCACCTAGTCCTTCACAGGCTCTGAATGCCATTCTGTACACAAAGGTCTCCTTGAGTAAAGAAACTCCACCTGGATTGCCACATCCCAAAAAGGGGATGCAGTCTGCAACACCTAGGAGATTTCTGCAAACAGCAAAACCATTCCAACTTAATCTTTGATGCAATGCTTGGAATGCAAGAAGCCACTATGATGCCTCTTGTCTGTGTCTCGCAGAATCCTTTCTTTTCTCTGAGAAAAGCAGACCCTGGGAACTAGGCCAGATGCCTGCCACTTACTCTAAATTGATTAGACACTTTGCGATTAAAACCCCTCAAAACAGCAACACCGGGATGTGGCCGTGTTCACACCCAGGCACAGAATACTGTATCACATTGTTTTCTTATCTCTGATTCGTTAATATGCATCCTCCACCATCCATGTCCACCCATTTCTGCTTAGAAGGCAAAATCAATAAGTGCACCCTCTTGGCCAAGTATTTACAAAGGTTCCCTTCTATGTTTGTGGTTATTTAAAATTCTGGATTAAGAGGCAAGGTCTTTGGGGTTGGGGGGTTGGACATGATCCAGCTCCTGGCAAGGTACAGAGACTAGTTTCATGCCCAGTACTGAAGACTAGGTTCTTCAAAGTAGTGCTCTTCAACTTCTGATCTCCAAATAACATTTGACTGCAACTCCCATCATCCCCAACCACCTTAACCTGAGAACCCATGGTCAAAGAACACTGCTCTAAAGAACTGCTTCTTCCCATGTAAATCTGCCCAATGAAGAACAATCGGAGAGGCATTCCTCTGGTTCTGAACATCAGAACTATTGTTGGTTGGGATGCTGGAGACAGCCTTCTCATTGGCTCAGACTAGGCTGTGGAAATCCCTGCCTAGGGAGACCTGTCCCCTAACTTTGCTGGTTTTGCTTTTACCAACCCATCTTGTTATTTTGACAGGCATTTGGCCCATCAAGCTGTTGATGTCCCCTTAATGCCTCCTGAGTTTTCTGTGACACTTTTGCTGCGATTCCCATCTTAAGTGGTCTATGTAGATCATTTTCTATACGTTTGATTGATTGTCTTTAAATTTTACACTGGAGTGTTTCTTTTGAAACAGAAAGACAGGAAATAAATTTCCAAATAAATAAAAATCTATATACACTGATATGGGACGCGGGTGGCACTATGGGTTAAACCACAGAGCCTAGGACTTGCTGATCAGAAGGTCGGCGGTTCGAATCCCCGCGACGGGTTGAGTTCCCGTTGCTCAGTCGCTGCACCTGCCAACCTAGCAGTTCGAAAGCACGTCAAAGTGCAAGTAGATAAATAGGTACCACTCCGGCGGGAAGGTAAACGGTGTTTCCGTGCGCTGCTCTGGTTCATCAGAAGCAGCTTAGTCATGCTGGCCACATGACCCGGAAGCTGTACGCCGGCTCCCTCGGCCAAGAAAGCGAGATGAGCACTGCAACCCCAGAGTTGGCCACAACTGGACCTAATGGTCAGGGGTCCCTTTACCTTTATATACGCTGATACCAGGAAGGAACAACTGTGTGTATCTGCCTGGATCCAGTTCCATGACACAGTCACCCACCCAAATGCCTTGGGACATTAGCATAGTGTAATAGGTAGTGTGTTGGACTAGGGTCCTGTCCTACTTGCTGCACTCCAGATTCAGATTCATTGCATCCATAGGAATTTGCATTCCATGAGCCAGACCATTGATCAATCTAGTTCAGGGGTTTGTCTACACTGACTGGCAGAGGCTCTCCAAGGTTCCAAGTAGGGAGTATCTACCAACCTTTATCTACCAGATGCTGAAGACTGAACCTGGGACCTTCTGCATGAAAAGCAGATGCTCTGCCACTGAGCTATGGCCCTTCCCAAGCACACTTTGATTGCCATGAGGACTCCTTGTATTTCCGTTGTCCCTAAATAGTGCCTACTCACTGTTACATCACTACATCAAAGGGCTTATTAAAGGAATTGGACAAACATTCCTTAGTCAACTGTGAAGCATTTCTGTGGCTGGAAAAAACCGTGTTTGAATGAAAAGGAACATAGCCTTAATTTACACATCAACAAGTAAAACAGGTTTTTGTCCAGGATTCACTGTGGCATTTATTACTTCAGCAGTAACTGATACTCCAACTGTCACAGTATTGTATTGTCACAGCTGTGAGGATGTGGTAATACTGGGTGACAACTAACTGCCCTTTTCCTCCTCTCCAGTTTTCACTTTTTATAATGTTGCTGTGCGAATGGATTTGTGTACGTGACTGGAAAAACAACATATCTGTATTCAAAACGTGGCTGCATTTGTCTCTTGAGGTGCGTCAAACCTCTTTGGTTGTTTTTACTGCAAGTGACTGACACAGCCACCTCTCTGGACAGTTTATATTTTTCAAAAGCAGCGTCTTTTTTTTTAAGAGCAGGTCAAACATGCAAGCAGTTACCTTGGTTCCAACGAAAAATAAGAATGTATGTATAAATAATACTGCACAAGTAATGAGACTTCCAGATAGGTATCAGTGAGGAAATAATGACTCATGCTCGGAGGCGCTGGTCTTCAAACTGCTTGGCTGGCACAAGATCCATCACTGCAACCTTAGGAAGCAAGAAAACAGGCCCTTAAAAAAATCTACAGTGGTTTCAACAGGCCCACAACCCACCTATTAACTGGTCACAATAAACTCGCTCCCTCCAACCAACACTCTGCAAGGATCAGATTATGGATAGCCTCATTGTGGATACTGTCCAAGTTGTGAGAGGTGAAGCAAGCACTGCGACAGAAAGGCAGAGCCAAGAAACACTCCAAAACCAGGAAGGCCTTATTGCTCATCCAGCATCGCAGCCAAAACAGGAAGCCTTTTCTATGTCTCAGAGAGCCCAATGGCCAGCCTGGGTGGGTGGAGCCAGTCCAGGGCTGGAGCATGTTAGCTCACCACATGGGGCAGCTGTATACAGAAGAGAATATTTCCTGGGACATGGAAGGGGTGAAAGGCTCCCATCTTACCCTGTGGCACATGGCCAGGTACATGGGAGCTGTACTTTTGTATGGGGAACTGGAGGAGAGGCATGGTGAACTGCCACAAGATCTTTGGGTGAAGGCTGATATAAATAATAATAATAATAATAATAATAATAATTAATAATAGGTGGTTAATGAAACTGAGCCTGGCCACTGTTGGAGCCGACTCATGCGTTCTGAAAACAAATATGCTCACGTTTCTACTATCAATATTTTGGAAATTTTGGCATTGGGAAGACTTTGGCGTTTATATGGCAAAATATATCTATTCAGGAGCACCACCATTAATGCAGACTCAACTTCAAATTCAGGAAAAGCTTAATAATAATACCTGATACACTTGGCTACAATCCCACCAAATACAGCACTTCTTATCAATATCCAAAGTCAAGAAGCGAGCTATTGGGCCATTGACTAGGTTTTGAAAGTATAACACAACAAAAATACATTATTGAACAAGTGAGATTGGACAAATAACTGGCCGACCACTTAAGCCAGATCCTCCATCTTTGGAGCAGGGAAAGCTGATTTGCACAAGGAACTCTTGGAATTTTTCTTTGTTGCAGCCAAAATAACCACTGGTAAACATTAAATAACTTGATGGAGAAGTGGTACCAACAATTATGGCTGATTGCACTAATGGAAAAATTATTAAAGCAGAAGAAGCTGAATGACAGTCAAAGACTGTTCTTAATGAAAGCTGGCATTATTGTTATTATTATGTGTTTATTTATAACCTGCCTTTTTCCCTCACAGGACTCAAGGAAGCTTACAAATAAAAACAGGAAGCACTGAAAAAACAGGAAAAAACCCATCATTAAAAAATAATTAGACACTGGTAAAGTCAAAACTATTTGCATATATAAAATCTGCTTTAAAAATACAAATAATTACAATAAAAACAGCACGCCACCAGCCCTTTAATTAAAAGCGGTCAGTTCTCAAAAGCCTGTTAGAACAAAAAAGTCTTCATCTGCCTGCAAGGAGGGAGCCAGTCTAGCTTCTCTGGGAAGGATGTTCCAGAGTCTGAGATCAGCCACGAAGAAGGCCATCTTCTGCGTTCCCACAAAGCATGTCTGTGAGGGTCATGGGACCTCCCCCAAGATCTCAAAATCTGGGCAGGTTCATATAAGGGAATATGTTATTTCAGATATCTTGGACCTAAGCCATATTGCTTTTGCTTTATTGCATATATTTCACATGAAGAACATGGTTGACAGTCTACATCAACACATGGTGAGGACATTTTTAGTTGACTTTATTCATTGTTAAGTGATAGGACTGTGTTGCTCCGTTTCATGTAGAGAAGTTTATATTCTTGAACGACTGATTGTCTTGAAATGGTATCCATTCATTCTGTTTTGTTTGTTATTGTTATCTAAGGAAAAATTAAATTACACACACACAGCGCTTTTTTCTGGGGGGACGCAGGGGGACGCATAGCCCTAAACATTTTGTGAATCTAATGGGTGAAGAAACTAAAAAAAATATTAAATTTTAGTTTCTTCTCTAGCACGGTGAATTGTCAGTTCCTTTGAATAGCATGATGAATCATCGGTTCCATTGCTACCCCCTATGGCGGCCTGTCATGGTGTTTCCTGACTCTCAAACTGAAGCGAGCACTTAATGTGTGAAGTAGGAATTGGAATCTAGCATGTTGATTGATCAGTTCGTTGTTACCGCCTCTGATGGGGGCTTTATTTCCTTTCCCAGTGTTTCCTGAGTCTCAGACGGAAGTGAGCATTTAATGTGTGAAGCAGTGTGGAATGTGGATGTATGGTGGTTATTTCTACCAATTCGAACTATAAAATGGTGATTTTCTTGAGTCAAAATGAGATTACCCCTAAACATTTTTTTAGAAAAAGCACTGCACCCACCCACCCACACCCACCCACCCCTACCTACCTGCCACAGTTGCATCTTTAAATGTTTCCCCTTGTGAAAATATCCCTGCTTGTGGAAAGCTGGCATACCAAGGACAAGCTGATCTTAGTTTGATAGGCATGCAAATGTACAGTTTCCTCACCTGCGATCTGAAGTGGTTCCACCGCAGGAGAAAAAGGATCAGCCTAGTAACAAAGTGTTATGTAAACAACCACAGGAGATTACACAAATTATGAAATTGTTTTATTGAGGAATCATGAAACATGGATTGTTTTGATATGGCAAGATTTTGCCTGAGAATCACAGACTGAGCTGTTTGATAAAGTGACATTAAAACCTGTCATAAAAGCATATTTTGACAGAGTTTTAGTGTTTGATTATTCTGCAGTTGCCTCCATATTTTGTTTGCCTTGGGTTTAGAACTGCTGCTTGCAGCATTAATGGGATTATTTTATTGCCTTATTGCTGTATATTTATTGGTATTTTGTTGTAAACTGCCCTGAGTGTGAATGTAGAAGAGTGGGTTATCATCACTATCATTATTTTTATTTAAAAGATCTGATCATGCTTTTGCGATAAGGCGACGCTGCAGGAAAGCTGTGCCTTGACAGGAGAAATTCCATTAAAAGGGTGCAGCAGGGAAGGGCAACTCACCTGAGGATATATAGACAAAACAGTATGACTGGGTTTCAGTATTAGAGTCGGAAGTTCCAAAAAGCGCAGTAAGGTGGTACAGAGTTGAAAGCAGAAGATGGATTTTAATAGCCAGGTTTAGGTTTAACATGAGAGAGTCGTCACAAAATGAAATTATGGTGCCAGCTCCATGCAGGAGTTATTTAGCAATCCCATGTTGTTACACCTGTTGACTAAACATCTGTTTGTTTGGTTGATTGCCAGCGAATAACCCGGGATGATCAATTGATGTTTCACCATTGGGAGCTAATGATAGGAGGCTTTTGATAGTTAGGCAACTCTCTCTCTCTCTCTCATTTTTGGAATGCAACACCCATTGGAGCTTGAAGGCAGCAGCCTTCTTCCAGCTAAGGGAAGGAAAGAGGGATAGAGGTGCAATAATCGTGTTTCACAGCACTCGTGTGTGTGTGTGTGTGTGTGTGTTCGTTCCCCTCCTGCTTCCTACAGTGAAAGACCTGCCCCCTACAGGAAGTGGGACGGAAACGCAAGTTTGCAGCTCTATTTCTGTACAGCTGTTGGCAGACAACTCTGCTAGTGTCCAGATCAGGCATAACTATTATCGACACAAGGCAAGAGGCAATTCCCAGATGTGCTCCCCAGCTTCCTCTGCCTATCTTGTAGAGCAAACTCTATAATACACTGGCCACAAAGAGCTGGCTTCCTGCAGGAGCAGCCCCATGGGCAAAGTGACCAATGAGTAAAAACTCACCCAACCCCCTACAGCAATCATAAAACCTCCCACCAACTTTCACCACCCGCATTTCCACCCTCTATGGAAGCGTATAGGTTTTGTAAACCGATGTTCTTTTTGGGGTGTCATTCAGATGCTGTTGGACTCCAATTCCCATCAGCCCCAGCGAGCATGGCCAATGTTCAGGGATAATGGGTGTTGTAGTATAAAAACTGGACTGCAATGAGAAGTTCTGAGAGGCAGCTCTGTGATGTTTCGTTCCTTTGGATGATATAGAACTGGAGACAAATTTCTGGTTTTTGTAACATTTACTTTAATTAAAAATGCAAAACATAGTGGAGGCCAACAGACAGCTTGTTCAGATCCACCCTGCAAAAACTCAGTTTGTTCTGTGTGCTTCTTTGAAACTGCGAGTTTCTTTTTACAATCATGAACCCCTGCCGCCAATATCTGGACCAGGCATAGGCAAACTTGGCCCTCCAGGTGCTTTGGGACTACAATTCCCATCATCCCTGACCACTGGTCCTGTTAACTAGGGATGATGGGAGTTGTAGTCCCAAAACATCTGGAGGGCCGAGT